ACTCTGACCTCWCTGTGGATTTCAAAGAAAGAGCTCAGTCTCAGTTTTCTAATTTTCCCAAATAGTCTCTACATATGGAGRGACCATGGTTAAGGGATACCACAGAATTTGCTTGGGGGCTGGTGGATAAACGCAGTACAGAAGTAATCTGCTCCCCTCTGCAAGTCACCTGCTTCAGCCTTGCCTGCAACTCAATCACTAGCACACAGCTAACCAAATTACTGCTCAGGGCTCTGGGCCTCCTGTTATGTGACTCSGGAGCCTCATTTGCAATCACCATTAACCAGAAAAGCTGCTCGACTGCTCCGTGCCCATCGAGTCGAGTGTCATACAATACCAAGGGGCTGGAAGAGGCTGCAGACAGCCTCTAGGATAAAGCTCAGAGATGTAGACCACCAGCCTCGACCTACTCCTTCGCCAGTACCTCTCCCCAGCCCCTGACAAGTGCTAATGAGCAGGAGGTGGCTCCAGTCTAGGCAGAGAAAGAAGATGGGGAAATTGGTCAGAGGACTGGGAACAGAGCCCTCAGAGGTGGCTGTGTGAATAAATAAGAACTGGGTAACCCACATCCCAGCTCTTAAACAATCCTGTCAGAAACCCTTAACTGCTTTACCTCCAAAGGCCATTTCTAAATCTCTAAAAACAAAGCTCAGGTTTTGCTCGGGTCTTCAGCTCACATCCCTGCTGCTMCCTGCTGTGCTGTGTCAGGCAGTTAGCAAAGCCCCAGGGCAGCCAGGGATTTCCAAAGATTAYCCCAATAAACAGTTGGAGGTGATGTTTGGCTTTGCCATACATCTCACATCTCTCCTGTTTCTCTCCTTGGAGGATCATCTCCTCTTTCCTCCCCCGCCCCACCACTCGGAATACATTTCCCCCATAGGCTGGTCTTAGAATGAAAGGCACAGGGATACTACAGGAATGGTACTGAAATGCCCCAGTTACAGGTCTCAAATCTGCCAGGCACTTAAACCCATCATTGTCCCATTCCGTGTTTTTGTCTGTAAGCCCAAGGTTAATGGGTTACCACAGACAAGAGCAGCAGGGATCTGGCTGGCTGGAGGCAGGACTAACCTTCCCTTCCAGGGAGGTGGGAAGACTTCTGTTCCCAGGTCAGGACGCAGAGGAGGGCACTGCRTGGAGGTATCAGAGAGGGCCTTTTGGAAGTTTGCCAGAAAGCATTTCGCATTTCGGGTATTTTTGCAGAAAGCATTTTTTTTTTTTTTCAGGAACTTGTTTTCAAGGCCTGTGGTTAAAAGGAGGAAGTCGCACAGACATCTCTTCTCAGTCACTGTCCGCTGGCGGAGTGCTGAAGACAGACCGCAGAAGGGCTCTGGCTGGGGCTGCAGACCCTTCCCTGGGAGAAACCAGGCTGCAGGAACTGGCCATCCCGCCCACCCTCAAAGGGTACGGTCTGCAGGCGGGGCAGAAGGCAGCGCTGCGCAGGGCAGCCAGTGCCAACGGGAGAGGAGCCAGGGGAGAAAGGCTTCTTGGGTCGGAAACAAGCAAAGGACGCGCGGAAGGAAGGAATGCTGAATCAGACCCAGGCGCGGCAGCCTCAAGAGCGCCGCCTGCAGCTTTCTYGCCGCATTGCAATAACTCTGTGACCTGGGAAGCAGAGGGCAGCGAGCCAAGAAAGCTGGCCCCTTGGGAGCTGTCTCTCATGAAGCGGGAAGGAAAAGTGGGGGTACCATTTGAAACCCTTATCTTTGCAAGAAGTCATCCCTACAGACAGAGACAGACACAGGGACACAATCTTATTTGCTGTATTGCCTGGCATTCTCTTAGAGCTGAAGTCTCTCTAGCACAATGCCATTTACTCCAAAGGACCCTTTTAATTAGGGTAGGCTTAGTGGTGTAATGGCTCTAACCATGGTGTCTGCAGCCCCAGGAAGACTTTGCCTTCCACTTAAAAGAAGAGGCATGAGGCTTGAAGGAATCCCAGGTTGCTGAGTAATCACCATAATAAGATTGAGAATGAAGGTGACCTATAAAAGCACAGTAAATACACGAGTTGCTCTTCTCAGTAAGTGAATTTGGATTATAATCTAGCATTTGCCTCAGGTTCTTGGATGTTGTGAGAATTCCCAGGAAAACCCAGACAAAGATAAARAGTGTAAAAGTACTTCCACAAAGAAAAATGCAGGCTTCCCAGCCTTCTTTGTAGCTACATACAACATTGAAAACAAGGTTGCAGTCTCTCTGTCCTTGGTCACAATTTCATGTTCCAGCCTGTCATACAAAGTGTGGGGAAGCACCACAGATCAATAGCTATTCTGGGTTATATTGCCACAGTTTGTTCGTGTTCTCTCTCTCTCTCTCTCTCTCTCTCTCTCTCTCTCTCTCTCTCTCTCTCTCTCTCCCCTTTAAGAAAGAGGGATATTTATTTATGTAGATCACAGCTTATTTACATTGAAGGCATACTCCTGTGGTCTATTTATGGAAATTCACGTTTACAAAGAGAACCTTTTTTTCAGCCTTTGTGCACTTTTTAATCTAAGCAGTGGGGCGGTGATATTTCTAGAGGGTTGTTCCTTTAGAAACTCTGCAAATGAGTGTTAGGCCTCAGGTGTGAGGAGTAGGTAAACTTAAATGCTGGGCCACCCAGATCCTGGATGAGCATGGGGTGCTTATGGAGACCCCTCTGAACTCTATGCTGTGCCCCAAGCCTGACAGCATTCTTACACTCCACATGCTTCCCCCMCACACACACCAGTGGTGGTTCTTTTATAAGCAAACTCCCTAAGTGGATTTTTTTTAATGGGAAATGAAAAATCAAATGAGAGTGTATGTGAAAAAGTGAGCCGGGCAAAATAGCCCCTCAAAGCATATGTCACCTATTTTTATGTTCCTGCTTATAGGATTTCCAAGTTGCCTGAAGGCTCCAAGTGACAACTTTTGAAGTTCCTACAAATTGTATGCAAAAACATACTTTTTTTTTTAGAGGAGAGTATTACAAAGCACATTTGCCCCTCATATTTCTTGGCAGCCTCACAATGCTGTGGAGGAGCCAGGACAATTATTCCTATGCTCCTGTTGAAGGTGATAAAGGGGAGTCTCAGAGAGGTTCAATCATTCAAGGTCACACAGTTGGTCAGAGCTAACTCAAGTTTTCCAGTCCTGACTCTGAATCCCTGGGTTTTGCAGCAGGAATAAGTGTCAATATCCAAACAGATGTCACCCCAAAATATCCCCTCACCCCACACCAAGACCTCCGCASCCCTCTCTCCTCCATCATCAGCTACGGTCAATGAACCATATAAATTCAAACCTCAGAAATGCTAAGTCTCGTAAACAATTTTAAAGGTATTAAAATGCAAAACAGGAGTAAACAAAATTTCTTGCCACAGGGAACTAACTAATGTAAAGTGACAAAATAATGGGAGTTCGAATGTGGTCTCAAAAGCGACCATAAAATAGAATTCAGAATTATATTTTAATATGCATGCTATAYACTTGCTTTGTCAGGGATGACTGGTAGAGAGTTCTCATTTATAAAACTAAGCTATAAAGAAAGAAAGGAATGAGAGGAGAGAGAGAGAGAGCACGCATAAGCCAGACCCAGAGGGAGAGAGGGAGAGAGAGCAGGAAATGTTAGTGAGATGGTATTAGTCACAGCTAAGGTCCCAGGAAGTCGGTTCCTAGGTGGGGTCAAGTGTGCTGGTTCCAGGGCAGTCCATGGCTCCTGCACTTGGGGCTGGCCTTGGCATGTGGCCTCAGGCTCTCCAGGCAGCTGTCCTTCCTAGGGACTTCCAGGAATGGGGTTTGGAGGGATGATCAGCAGAGGCTTGTAGGGTGGCAGCTAAGGACAGCTGCCAGGTGAGAGTTCATAAAGTGATAGGCAACATCCAACACTCTACCTAGCAGCAGTGGTCAGAAGGACAGATCTGTCCTCGTGGACACTGTCCAGCATTCCTGCTACAGACTGGCCCCTCCCCCTGCCCTCAATCCTCCAGTACAGTGGGGAGCACCCAAAAGCAACTCTCAAAGAAAGAGTCCCACCTTTTATTTCAGGACAGAGCCAAAGTGGCTCAGAGTTTCTCATGTGGAGAGTTCAGCTGAGTCCTCCCACCATGCCTCACCCCATTTTCTGCCCCTCCTCTCCATCACCCCTGGCCAGTGGCTCTTGATTCATTTCCCCCTCAGCCCTGGCTGTGAGGTATAGTGATCCTTCTAGAGCCCATGTTTTGACTCTCTCTTAAAGGGCCTTGACAGAAGGCACAAAAGCAGAGGCAAGGACAGCAGAGGAGTAGCCAGGCAGCCACCAGCAGCTCAGCACCCAGCTGCCAGCAAAGCTTGAGGCAGCAGAGGCTCCAAGCTGGTTTCATTATTACACAACTGAAGCAAAGCCCTCCTCCCCCTCCTCCTGTACTCAGGAGAAAGGTGCCCATCTAGCTGGCAGGAACACACCAAGTCCAAGGACAAGGGCCAATACTTTGCAGAAGGAGCCCCCTCACCAATTCCCTGTCTCGGGGCTGCTCAGTCCTGCAGGTACTTTTTGCTGGATCTGTAGCCCCCTAGCCAGCAGGGGCTTCCAAAATCCCTGTACTTAACTGCCTTTCCCAGCTCATGGGACAGACAGCGACATGGTAACTTTTCAAATCCTATCTTCTGAGCACTTGCCCACAAACATTTGAAAGAGTGGTGGGTACACCGCCCCCCACCCACGCCCTGCTCAACACACATACTCTCTCCACCACCTTCATCCACCTGCCCCCCCCTCCCCCCACCATCCTGCTCCTGTTGCCGGCGTGGGGAAGACACCAGACCATCGCTCCAGTGTTTTAGGGAAACAGCACACCGTCAGCACAAGCACCCAGCCAGCTAGAGAGCCAGAAAGAGCCCAGGCAATCACCTCCGAGGACCACAGGGTCCCAGCACCCGCGAACCGGTATTTGGAAGGGGCTCGGGGTACGCGGGAGGCTCACCGCGGCCGGTCGCCAAGAGGAGGGACGAGTCCCCCGAGCAGAATGCATGCACAATGCTGCGAGACAGCGACTCACCTTTAGGTTGTGCGTGGGATTGACAACGCAGACAAGTTGCCCAGCAGCAGAGAAAACCCGTTTGGCTTTGTAGTGCTGAAACCGGAGGTGAATGAGATCTAACACAGCCCCAAAGCACTGGGTAAAGAAAAGCATCACAACTTTTGGGGGGTTGTTGGCACAGGAAGGCAGAGGAGGGAGCTGTAGGTCCTTGGGCTCTGGAAGGAGCGCAGCCTCTGAGACACTCCGCTCCAGCCCGGCTTAGCGTGCCTTCATATTCATCATCAAAATAAGACGGTTAGAATCTTGCAGCAGTGGGGCAGCCAATCAAAAGGACAGAAATGTTATCCTTGAGGTGCAGAGACAGCCAATAACAAATGCCTCCCCTACCGAAACTCCCTGATGAATTGAGCCTGGCGGAGAATGTATTATTGAACATTACCATAGATCAGCACATTGCATTTATCTTGTGATTACAGCCAACCATACATAATGCTGGGGAGATAGGCTGACAAAATTGATTGCTTAATGTGTCTCCATTTATTAATTGACTTAATTTAACATGAGAGCCTTTCTTAATGCCCTGCCCCCCCCAAAAAAAATAATGTAAAGCGTTTAAACCGCCAAATAGTAAAACACCCTGCTCCAAAGTAGGCAGATGGATAACGCAGACCGTGGCTCGACTCACCAAAGCTGCTTGGGAGAAAATCAAATATTACAAGACTCCGATTCCAGATAAGGATTTGGCAGCAGCAGAGATGTGTATCTTTCAATCTTGCGCCTCTGACTCTCTGCAATTTGGATTACAGCCCCTTGATAAATCTAACTCTCCACTTTTTATATATTTAAAAAAAAAAAACACAAAAAACTGACAAACTCATTTGGAGCCGAGGGGGGGAAATATGTGTATATATAGACATTTTTTTTCAAAACACTGTAATTACTGAAATCTTTTTTATTAAAGCATAAAAATGCACAGAGTACACTTCTAAAAATAATGAAATCCCTGATGCATGAATGCACACACAGAAAAACCTACACAGAGAAGAAAGTGGCTTGTAAATCAGCAAAATAATTACAGAGGCAGAGACCCTTTGCTTGTCATTCATTTGCATATTGGTGGGCAGCAAATTGCTAATTAACCACTAGCTGGTAGGAGACATTAAAATAGAGATTAAGAAACACACACACCACATCACTTACTTGCTTGGGGAATGCTAGTAGCACTGTTTCTGTGCTGGAGCAGGCAGAGAGCATTTGGGTGCTCACACTATAACACAAACTCACCTTGCTCTCCCAAAATGGGCTGGTGGGACCAGGCCACCAGGTGGTTCTTAAAGAAGGGCTCCCAAGCAGTACATAGAGAGTTAGGGTTTCTAGGGATGAGCTCTGATAGTGTATGTGGTCTTTGTAACTAAAGCCAGGTATATTATATTTTCACACTTCTTGGCTATTTCTCCATGGAGCAGTCAGACCAAATCCAGTGCTGCTTGGGGCACAATCAGTCTCATTAGTGAATTGCAGCCATTGAGTGTAAGCTCATTACTCCTTCCTGAATGACTCTCACTCTGCCCCACTATACATATGCTGATTGGGAGGCTGAGGTAGGAGAACCATGAGTTTAAAGCCAACTTCAACAACAGCAAGGCACTAAGCAACTCAGGGAGACCCTGTCTCTAAATACAATATTTTAAAAAGGGCTGGGGACATGGCTCAGTGGCTGAGCGCACCTAAGTTTAATCCCTAGTATCCCCYCCCCCCCCCCCACAAAAAAAGCACATGCTGAAATATCTGGCTGTTTCTTGCTCAGGCAATAAACTAAAACAGAATAAAATATAGGAAGAAAAATATGCATATGTTTAATGACACGGGAACAGAGCCCAGGTTAATTTTAACCTAAATTTTAAACCAAACCCATATTTTAAGGGACAAGCTCAACACCAAATAAAATTGAAAAATTGTGCTTTTAAAAATAATTGTTCTGGCATAAAACTAGATGACAGCGTTCAAATTGATTAGACCTTTTTCAATGTGCTGGTTTTATAGAATATGAATTCCTGGACCCATTTATTACATGGTTGTAAATAAAGGTTGTTGGTCTACACTATTAGAATTTGCTTTCTGAAGTTTACATTTTCTGAAAAAGCTCTCAGCAATTCAGCAGGAAACCATTTTGGTGTGTTTTTATTGTCTTAAAAAAAAAAGTGAACATAGACTCCCATGGATTCCTTAAAGACACACTTCATAATTCAGAAAGGTTCAAACTTCCTCTTTTATATTCTTTATACAATGGATATTTTGTTTGTTTTGTTTACATTTAATTTTTTTTGTTCATTTGTTTATTGCTTTTGTCACCCTCTAGAATAAGTCCCCTGAGGGTGAAGTTTTTTTTTTTTTTTTTTTTTTTTTTTTTTTGCTGTCATCTAGTTTTGTTTCTTTTCAAATCTATTTTAAATAAAATGATTATAAGGAAAGTAAGGAAACCATCAAATAGAACAAAGGTCTATTATTTGATTGATAATCTCATGTTTGTTTAAGATATAGAAATCAGTGCTCCTTGTATGTTTAAAATTTTATTAAAGATTATTTTCAGATTAATATTAGATTCTCTCATTTTCAGATTAATATTAGATTCTCTCAAATTGAGAGGAAGGCACAGTGAGTTCCCGTGTGCCCCTTACCCCAGCACATACATAGCTCCCCGCACTGTCAACATCCTCCCCCCAGCACTGCAGTGCATTGGTTGCAATTGGTAAACTTCCACTAGTGTATCATCCTAATCCAGAGTCCACAGTTTACATCAGGGTGCACAGTATACTGGATATACTTATGGGTATGCACAGACTTATAATGGCAAATATCTACCATTGTAGAATCACCCAGGAGGGTTTCACTGCTCTGAAAATCTTCTGTGCCCTTTATTCTTTGCTCCTTCTCCTCAAATCCCTGACAGCCATGGGCCTTTTCACCATCTCCATAGATTTGCCTTTTCCAGATGTCATACTTAGGACTATGTTATATAATCTTTTAAAGTGGTCTTTTCACTTAATAATGTGCATCCACGTCTCTCTGTGTCTTTTCAGGGCTTGATAGCTCATTTGTTTTTAGTGTTGATTAATATTCTTTTTTTCTGGATGTACCACAGTTTATCCATTCTCCAACTGAGGGACATCCTGGTTGCTTCCAAGTTTTGGTAATTATGAATTAAGCTGCTGTAAACATCCATGTGCAGGTCTTTGTGTGGACATGTTTCCAACACCTCTGGTTATATACCAGGGAGCCACATTACAGGATTGCATGGTAAGAGTATATTTGGTTCTCTAAGAAACCACCCAACTGTATTCCAAGGAAGTTGCACCATTTTGCATTTCCACCAACAATAAATAATTTCTTGATACTCCACATCCTGAGGCACAGATTGGGGTGATATATCTATAAGTAAGGAATGCCAAATATGACCAGAAAGAGAAGCATGGAACACAATCTCCCTCATAACCCTCAGGGAGAACCAGTCTAGCTGACACTTGGATATTAGACCTCTAGCCTCCAGAAGTGTGAGGCTAATTTTCTGTTGTTCCAGCTGCCTGGGTTGTGGCACTTTGTTATAGCAGCCCTAGCCAACTAGTGCAATAACTTTGTCCGATTCATGGAAATCTATCAGACTGGGTTTTCTGTATGAAAGATATATGTCCTCAGTAATACTAAAGTAACATGTGGATGAACTTGTCATTGAATTTTGAAATGGTGAAAAATACTTCTAAAGATTTTTTAGAATCTACTAAAGTAATCACAAAGGGAAAAAACCCAATTATATAAAACATTAAACTTTGTCAAAATAATTTCTAACAAATAAAATTGAAAAGAAAAGAAACAATTAGAGATATTTTACAGGAACAGTGACAAAAGATTTCCATTCCTATTAAASAACTCTTCTCTTTGCACTTGAAAGAATTTAAAGTTACATCGAAAAAAATTGACAAAAGATACAGACAGAGTACATGGAAGAAATAAAAAGATGAATAAGCAGAATGCAAAGTTACCAAGAAGGCAGAAGTCCCAGTCCTCACCTTCTGATCCAATAGAAACATCAATTTAACAACCATCCACAGATGAAAATACCTCTAGGAATTTTCCAGAATCCACTTGTACACATTAAATATGTATAGCTTTTTGTATCTCATACTTCAAAAAAGAGGTTTTAAAATAAAGATTAATAAGCAAGTGAAGAATACTCAATAGAACTAGAAATCAAAGAAATAAAAATTCAAACAAGATAATATCTTTTATCTGTCAAATTGATACTTTTCATTTTTAAACAATCCACAAAATGGAGTAAATTGTAACCATAAAATTATGTGGAAAAAATTTCAGAAAGACACATGCATAAAACGATTTGTTACAATACTATTTATAATAGTAAGAGACTAAAATAAAAGAATAGGGATAAATAAATCATTAGTTAAAGAGTAGAAACCACCAGATTATCTGTGCATGGAGGACTGGTTGAATAAACTACATACATTTACATAATGGTAACCATTAGCCATAGAAATGACCATTATTTGYGAATACTGGACTTCAAATACTGAAATGAATTCCATGTATATCGGTGTCTGAAAAAAAGAAATATGAAGGGTAGTATGAATAACATGAAAATATTTTAGAATTAGAAGTATGTATTTATTTAAGGAGTTGTTTTTAAAAGGAAGTATACATAAAAAGTTTTTTTAAAAGTTAACCTAGAGGAGAGAAGGGTACAGAGTGTAAAGAAATAAAGCTAGATTTTCTGAATCTGGCCTGATTAGTTTGACTTCAACACATTTAAGTTATTTTATAAAATTATAAAACAAAACAAAAAAGAAGGAATTCCCAAAAGTCAAAAGCAAAAGAAAACAAGTCAACTGTTTTTTAAGTTGATGGCACATGCACACAGGGGACAACTTTATGTGAATTCAGAACATAGTAATTTGACCGTATCCTCAGTAAGAAGCACTCTATTAAAAGAAAAAAAAAAGTTGTGGAAAATGTAACTACTGTCAGTAATTTTATCATTGGCAATAGTGTTTATGTGGTTTAAAAATACACCTCCACCTTCAAGATGTACAACCTAATTTTCCTTTTTGAGTGGGAGCAAGATTTACTGAGTTGACCATAATAAAAAGCATAAAAATGGTAATGTGTGATCTGTAAGCCTTGGTTATCAATGGAATTGAAGTTTCCCCACTGTT